GAAAGGGTGAGCCTGGGTTCACACTGATGCGGTGCAGAATTCGCACACTGCATCAGAATCGCACCCGTTCATGCAAACCGCTGCTGATGTTAACCTCCTCAGTGGTATGATTATTTCAGATTTTTGGTGCTGAAAGCGGTACATTTTTTGGCATGGAAATATGTAGTTTTTTATTGTAGGCTGTAATTTTTAGGAATAACTCACTGAAATCTGTCCGAACAAGAGTCTAGTAAACATCCCGGGTATGATAAAATTTGAAACATGAAATCATAAATTATAATTTAATAAATAATCATAACAAATAATAATATAATAATAATACATTTAATTCAATAATATAATCAAACCAAAAACACTGAAATTTTAAATATAGCGCCGAGTTCGCACATCGCTGAGCAAAGTCGCAGAATCATTTTCAGTGTCTGATGATGAATTTCCCCCACGAATCATTATCACTCAATTCTGCAAGTGATTCTGATTTACTAACGCTGTTCTCTAGCTGGTCTAAAACCGCTTTTGACCTAAAGGGACGCTTTTTGGACGCCATGGACATTTCTCAGTTGGAAATTTGCCGCCGTACGTCCCGACGTCACAGGGACCAGAACACAGAAGCTGGATGCCGGATCGGCCGGAGGAGATAGCCGGGGACGCTGCAGGGGACACATCGCGGGAGCGAAGGACAAGGTAAGTGCTGCAGGGAATCCCTGAGCAACGCCGCATGGTAAGCCCGAGTGTAGCTCGGAGTTACCACTTTTGGTACTGAAACTTTTCCCCGAGCTACACTCAGGAATACCGCCAGGGAGGTTAAGTTAACAACACCCCGAAAGTGGTTTTCAAAACGCGGTGCGATGTGCAGAATCAGATTGCATAGGTGTGAACACCCATACAATCCGATTCTAGTGCGGACCAAAAAAAGGGTCCTGCACATTTTTGGTGCGGGTGCGGTGCGATTAGAGCCATACAAAATGTATGGCTCCAAACGCACTGCACACAAATCACATGTGATCTGTATAGGAATGCAGTTCCTGTGCAAATCAAATGTGATGTACCGCATATATATGAACCCAGGCTCAGGGACTTTTTTTAACGCAAAACGTTCAAACTTTTTGAACGTGCAAAACGTTCTGACTTCAGTGGGAACGCTGCAGAAAAGCATGTATTGTATTTTTGCTGCATTTTTGCTGCTTTTTTTTATGCGTTTTGCTTTTAAAATCTGCCTAGCAATAAGAAAAATGAAAACAAGAAACTCAAAATGTATCAAAAACATGGCAAAAATGCAACGCAAAATGCAAAGCAGAAATGCACAAAACGCAACCTGCATAGGTGTGAACCTAGGGTAAGGGGCAGAACTTTCTTAATCAGGAAAAAAGCAAAAAAAAAAATAAATCAATGGTTATCCACCTGCATACCAGCAACCTATCTGTACGTCGGTGGACTTCAAGCGGGATGATGACTGCAGCTACAGGCATCGTCCCGGTACCATTTTCAACCCTAGGTTCACACCTAAGCGTTTTCTGCAGCATTTTGCGTTTTGCAGAAACGCAGTACAGTCCACTTAACATGATTTCCTATTGGCCACGTTCACATCTCTGCATTTTCACCTGGTGCATATTTTGGGAAAGGGTCAGCGACTTTTGTGAACGCAAAACATTGCGTTTTTGGTTCTATACAATTCAATGGGAACAGAAAAGCATGTATTGTATTTTTTATGCATTTTTGCCACGTTTTTGATGCAGTTTGCATTTAAAATCTGCCCAGCAAAACAAAAATTAAAAAAAAAAAAACGCAAAATGCATCTAAAGTGCAAACACGCAACACACAACGCAATGCAGAAATGCACAAAACGCAACCTGCATAGGTGTGAACCTAGGGTTAGAGTCGGCAGTTGGCCCTCTTGTAAAAGCAATCAGAGCAGATAACTAGCAGCGGAAAGGGACGTCCGCCCCTCCCGCCACATTCCACCGCTCTCTTGAACTCTCCTGTCCTATTGGAAGACCCGAGCAACCAGCCGGTGTGTCCGCTGGCTGGCCAGACAGCCAAATAATGCCAGGATTGGCTATGATCGTCTGTCCGCTATGGTAACCAGGAATCACTAAGGCCCCTTTCACACGAGCAATCTGTATGTCCGTTTTTTCATCTGTACGTTTATGGATGAAAAACGGACCCCCGTGTATTTCTATGGACTAGCGGATATAAACAGATGATCATCTGTTTACATCTGTTAATGTCCGCATCCGTTAACATCCCTTTTTTTGAATGGAAGAAAAACCTAATTTTGTTCCATAAAAAAACCCGAACACATGTAAATGGATGAAAACGGATGTAAATGGATGTAAATGGATGAAAACGGATGTACATGAATGTAGATGGATGTAAATGAATGTAAAACAGATGTAAATGGATGTAAACGGATGTAAATGAATGTAAAACAGATGTAAATGGGTAAATGAATGTACAATGGATGTAAATGGATGTGAATGAATGTACAATGGATGTAAATGGATGTGAATGAATGTAAATGGATGTAAATGGATGTAAATGCAATGTAAATGGATGTAAATGGATGTAAATGGATGTAAAACGGATGTAAAACGGATGTAAATGGATATAAATGGTTGTAAATGTATGCAAATGGGAACAGATGGAAACGGATGTAAATGAATGTAAAATGGATGTAAATGGGTGTAAATGAATGTAAAATGGATGTAAATGGATGTAAAATGGATGTAAATGGGTGTAAATGAATGTAAATGGATGTAAATGGATGTAAATGATTGTAAAACGGATGTAAATGGATATAAATGGTTGTAAATGTATGCAAATGGTAACAGATGGAAACGGATGTAAATGAATGTAAAATGGATGTAAATGAATGTAAAATGGATGTAAATGGATGTAAACAGGTTACAAAACTGATGTAAACTGATGAAAAATGGACGAAAACTGATCCGTTTTTTCATTGAAATAACGTGATTGATCTAATGAAAAAAAAAAACAAAACTCCCATGTGACAGGACCCTTAGCGGCACCATTTTTTAAAAAATTAAAGATTTCAAAAACATAGATCTTGGTGCTTTGAATGCTTTTAAGTGCAGAGGAGGGATTTGGACAGCACAAGGTTAGTAGTCCTCATAAATCCCTGCTGTATAAATAGGCTCCCTTGCTGTCAGTCCTACATGCTACATGGGTATACCTAGCTATACTTCTACTGCTGTCATTAGACATGTGCACACTGCAAAGTTTCGTTTCGGATGCATTCATTCATTGAAGAATTCCATTTCATCATATTCGTTGTGTTGAACAGATTTGTTTTGGAATTTGTTTGTATCCTCGACATCCGTTTTGTATATTCGTTGGTCCGGGTGGATTTGAAAAGTTTGGGAATTTTTATTTTAAATTGCTATGTATTAGTTTGTTGGTTTCAATATTTCGGGTGTATTCGTTATTTATATATCAAAACCATTCAATATTTTCAGATGTAATGGAATAAATAAAATTTGGCAGCCAGGATTTTTTCAAACCTAAGACCTCAGTTACACGGGGCTTTTTTACAGCTGATGTTTTTGGATACTGGGGTTCCCAGTTTCTTCCACTTGGTTATAATACCACTTTTTTTTTCTACAGCCAGTAAACTCCCCAGCATCTTATCCTGTGTGCTGATTTACTAAAGGCAAATAGACTGTGCACTTTGCAAGGGCGCTTGCTCCAGAGCTTAGTAAATGGAGTAAAGCTTCCCTTTGCCAAGAATACCCAATCACATGCAAGGAAAATGAAAAAAAAAAAACAGCATTGATTTGAATGGGTTGCGTTCAGTGGGTGGTAGTGTGAACATGACAGAGAGGGTAACATTCCTGCCATGGCATATTTACCCCCCCGGCCGCTGCCTTTCCAGCTAAAGGGGAGTGGTTGAGTGGCAGTAAAAATGCAGTAGTGATTTTACCACCCCTTTTACCGTTTCTACTGCCCCTCTGAAAAGCAATTCACAGTGTGGTGATAGGGAGTACCGCTTGTGTCATCAACCCCTGGTTCACACCTATGCTGGTTACGGTTGATGCATTTTGTGTTTTTTTTTACATGTTTTTGACACAGTTTTAATGTGGTTTTGATGTGTTTTGCGTTGTTGGGAGATGTCTGTTTTCTTACAAGAGAAACCAGAAAAAAATGCAGCAGAAATACATAACAAATGCAATCACTGCATTTTTGATGCGTTTACAATGCATTTCCATTGAAGTATATGGAACAAAAAAATGAAACCTGCTGCAGGATAAAAAAGCCCCTGACCCATTACAAAAAATGAATTGCTGGAAAAAGCACAAATGTGAACGTGACCTACAGGAAACCATGCTAAGTGGAGTGTAGTGCGTTTCTGCAAAACTGAAAATGCACAGAAAGACACATAGGTATGAGCCAGCCTAAAAAAGGCTTTCACTACCACAATGGATCGCTTTTCAGAGGACAATAGAGCAATGGCTACCAGGCATTCAGGAGGAAGTATTGCTACCTCATAAATGCCCCTTTTTTCAGCCAAAGGGGGATTTTCTGTTGTTATTGCAACTGTGAGTCAAGAGTTTAGCTCATGAGTTGCAGTGTGGTCCATTTATTTGCATAGGTTGCATTGGTGGCAGTACTACCTGCCAACATGACCTGGCAAATTGGCACTTGGGGGGGCTGTAAAACTGCCTCTCAACTGCCCATTTTAACCTCTCCTTGACTGTCCATGGTCATGCCCTTGTCCATCCATGTAAATAAAGCCTTCCACACTTAACACTGGGCAAATATAGAATGGTGACCAAGCAAAATGTAAAAGTTAAAGTGTTACTAAACCCAGGACCCTGCATTCACTATATCTGGTCTCCTCAGACCCTGCATTCACTATATCTGGTCTCCCCGGACCCTGCATTCACTATATCTGGTCTCCCAGGACCCTGCATTCACTATATCTAATCTCCCCGGACCCTGCAGTCACTATATCTGGTTCACCCTGCATTCACTATATCTGGTCTCCCCGGACCCTGCATTCACTATATCTGGTCTCCCCGGACCCTGCAGTCACTATATCTGGTCTCCCGGACCCTGCATTCACTATATCTGGTCTCCCCGGACCCTGCATTCACTATATCTGGTCTCCCCGGACCCTGTCACTATATCTGGTCTCTCGGACCCTGCATTCACTATATCTGGTCTCCCCGGACCCTGCATTCACTATATCTGGTCTCCCCGGACCCTGCATTCACTATATCTGGTCTCCCCGGACCCTGCAGTCACTATATCTGGTCTCCCCGGACCCTGCATTCACTATATCTGGTCTCCCCCCTGCATTCACTATATCTGGTCTCCCCGGACCCTGCATTCACTATATCTCCCCGGACCCTGCATTCACTCCCCCCGGACCCTGCATTCACTATATCCGGTCTCCCCTGACCCTGCATTCACTATATCCGGTCTCCCCGGACCCTGCATTCACTATATCTGGTCTCCCTGGGCCCTGCATTCACTATATATGGTCTCCCTGGACTCTGCATTCACTATATATTCACTATATATGGTCTCCCTGGACTCTGCATTCACTATATCTGGTCTCCCCAGACCCTGCATTCACTATCTGGTCTCCCCGGACTCTGCATTCACTATATCTGGTCTCCCCGTACCCTGCATTCACTATATCCGGTCTCCCAGGACCCTGCATTCACTATATCTGGTCTCCCCGGACCCTGCATTCTCTATATCTGGTCTCCCCGGACCCCGCATCCACTATATCTGGTCTCCCTGGACCCTGCATTCACTATATCTGGTCTCTCCGGACCCTGCATTCACTATATCTGGTCTCCCAGGACCCTGCATTCACTATATCTGGTCTCCCAGGACCCTGCATTCACTATATCTGGTCTCCCCGGACCCCGCATTCACTATATCTGGTCTCCCCGGTCCCTGCATTCACTATATCTGGTCTCCCCGAACCCCGCATTCACTATATCTGGTCTCCCCGGACCCTGCATTCACTATATCTGGTCTCCCCGGACCCTGCATTCACTATATCTGGTCTCCCCGGACCCCGCATTCACTATATCTGGTCTCCCCGGACCCTGCATTCACTATATCTGGTCTCCCCGGACCCTGCATTCACTGTATTTGGTCTCCCCGGACCCTGCATTCACTATATCTGGTCCCCTCGGACCCTGCATTCACTATATCTGGTCTCCTGGACCCTGAATTCACTATATCTGGTCTCCCTGGACCCTGCATTTACTATATCTGGTCTCACACAGTACACACAACATGGAAATACAATTATTTTAGTAAATATAAACTGCTAAATATGTTTTCTCATCAGCAGTATATAGCAGCCTTGTGACTTCTATCAGTGTCCGGCTAAGCACTGGTTAATTTTGTAGGAGGAGTTTTCATTCTCCTCTGACTGTCCTATGAGGCTGCATGACCCCTGACCCTCTGTCTAGACAGTGCTGATTGGCCCTGTGCTGATCGCATGCAGCCTCCTCCCCAACAAAAGAAATATCTTAGCAATACAAACCAAACTGAGTATGTGCAGACTTGCCACTGCTGCTTTAACTATGGCAGATGGATTGGGGACAGTAGAAGTAGGGGAGGATCAAAGAACACAGGATCAAACATCCTTTTTACACAATGCAGAGGATTAACCCCTTAGTTCCACAGTGAGTATAACAAGCATGCTTTACTGCATATACAGACTGATTTTACTGCTGTGGGTTTAGTAACACTTTAAAGTGGTTCTAAAGGCTCAAGTTTTTGTTTACTCTGTGCATGAAGGTAAAAAAAACCTGTATGCAGCTCCCCCCTCAGCCACCCCCAATCCTCACCTGAGCCCCTTCCAATCCAGTGATGTTCTCAACAGCCTCTGCTGTCTGCAGGGGCGGACTGACCATTTGGAAACTTGGGCACTGCCCGAGGGCCCAGGGTCAGTAGGGGGCCCCATGAGATGCCCCTGGTACCTTTTTCATAGGCTTTTTTGAGTTTGGGCAAGGACACAGGGGCCCCATGATCCCCTATTGCCTGGGGGCCCCATGAGTTGTCAGTCCGCCCCTGGCTGTCTGGGTATTAATAGAGGAAAAAGAGAGCGGGAGATGGAGACCCACAACAAGGGCTCCCCCCTTTCTAGTAGGATTTATTGGTGCCACGCCCAGGGGCGGACTGACCATTTGGAAACTCGGGCACTGCCCGAGGGCCCGGGGTCAGTAGGGGGCCCCATGAGATGCCCCTGGTACCTTTTTCATAGGCTTTTTTGAGTTTGGGCAAGAACACAGGGGCCCCATGATCCCCTATTGCCCGGGGGCCCCATGAGTTGTCAGTCCACCCCTGGCCACGCCCCTTAAGGATAAGACACTGAAAAATACATATCCCTAGCTGAAAAAAACTGATGGGGTTTTAAAGGCACCATATCACAGAATTAAATAATCGAATAATTTAACAACTACAACTTTATTAATAAAATTCAGAGCACAGTTGTGGTAATGAAAATTGAGCATGTGACACATTCATCTTAAAAAGCATCTATTGCTTATGGCAAACACAATTATTAACATCATTACAAAATATGGCCTTTGATAACATGAATATCATAGTTGGCACAATCATTCTGAGTTGATGTTTTGCTTATTCCTTCGACGTGTTTCACGGGACGCAGCAAGCTTCTTCAGGGAGTATATAATATAAAAGTATATAATTAGAAGTAGATAATTCTGAAATTGTACAAAATGTAATAAAAATTAAAAAAATAAAAATAAGTATGTAACATATTGAAATCATGATAATGAATCTAACTCAAGCTCTATTAGCATTTGCCCATAGTTCACATCAGTGCTTGCAGTTCCAGTGCGTTCCAGTTGCAGAAAAAAAAGTAGAACAGGCTGCATTTTTTCTGCACAGAACTGTACTGGAACGTGGTAAAACACATAAAAAATGCACCAGAATGCACCAAAAACGCCCCAAAAACGCACTGGAACACACATGTCCCTATTTAAATTGAAGAAAAAAAGAGGGGAAAAAAAGAACTGGGGTGCACATAAAGCGCACTGGAATGCATCTAAAACGCGCATGCAGAAATGCATCCGGAACGCATCTGGACTGCGTTTCTATGGTGCGAACCAGCCCTCAGTGTAGTGATGTGTCCTTAAAAAAAGAGAATCTGCAGTGGCACAATCAGGGGCGGACTGACAACTCATGGGGCCCCCAGGCAATAGGGGATCATGGGTCCCCTGTGTCCTTGCCCAAACTCAAAAAAAAGCCTATAAAAAGGTACCAGGAGCATCTCATGGGGCCCCCTATTGACCCCAGGCCCTCGGGCAGTGCCCGAGTTTCCAAATGGTCAGTCCGCCCCTGGGCACAACGACCTGATGTGTTAGGAAATTAGTTTTATAGGAAACACACGGGGGTCACCAAAATCATTGTCTTCTTGGTGATGTGAATTTCTTGGAATCCATGTTCCTTATATATAAAGGAAGATCTTCTGCAGCAGATTATCTCGTGAAATGTATGACGGAGCCGTCTGGTGTTTGACTTGCACATGGTTCATCTAAGCTGTCCTTGCTATGCTACATGGTATTGGGTCACTGGCATGGAAAAGACAAATAACCAGTGAGGTCCATATTCCTGGCCTCCATGTCTACTCTGGGCAATGACTCACTAAGTAGTGATGCAAAGATTAAGATGATATCCCAGAAGCCCTTGCCCTCTAAAACAGATTGGTAATGGCAGCTACTAAGATATGAAATCATGTTCACGGAAGAACCGATTTTCTATTCCGCAATGGTAGACTAGCTTTGTTTCATTCAACTGCAATTAGGATTTCAGAGGTTTGTTTTACCAGGATTCTGGACTAGATGTGTAGCTCTACCCTCTAGAGGGCTGCTGGATTTGTTTGGGTCCCCCCTATGCTCTACACAACCAGGCAACACACATTTTTCCCACATCTTGCACCCAGAGTCAATAATACAGTCCTTGAGCTGGTTTTTAGTTGCTTCTGTTGAGCGGTTAACAACTTGGATGGGGTCTAGGGGTATTTGGGATGCCCAAGGAACCTAAAACTTAAGGACAAACTTCTTAGCAACCTGTACACTGTACAAAATGCAGATCCACAAAACTATCACTGTCTCCAAAGTCCCCTTGGTGTACCTCCTCAGACACCAGATGAATCCTTCCTCTTCCCCCGGCTGCACTGAAGGTATCCTTAGGCAAGGGATTCTAAGATCTAGCATTGAAGTAGTCCCGAATGAGAACTAGTTGGATCTTGTACCTGACTGCCCTCTCTCTTTATCTAGCCCAGTGGGGTGTAGAAGTAGTCACACTGTCCTGTTCTGCCAACGTGGTGGGTTGGTAGCTGCTTTCAGGCCTTTCAGTGGGCTTGCTCCTTCCCTGGAGATCCTCCTTTCCAGCATCCTGCCTGTAGGTAGGCCTCCCTCCCTGGGGCCCCCTCCCAGACTCCACACTCCAGCCTTCTCTTAATCCATCTTCAAACTGACTCCCCGTCTGCTCAGGCTCTACCATAATTAGGAGCTGCCCTTGGTCACCATGCCTGGAGATTGGCCAAGTGCCCTCAAACATGCAGATTTGGGGCCTCCTCCGCCCCTCTTCCAGAAAGTTTTCTAAGTTTCTGGAAGGGTGGGAGGGCTCCAGAAGCCCTGACCTGTAGAGCCTCCTAGCCTGTCCTGAAGTGAACTCCTGCCTCACTCCCAGGCTGACTCATCCCAGGCAAGCAGCAGCTTACTTTGGGGTCCTCAGCAGAAGGGAGGAGCCAAACGCTTTGGTGGGGGACCCAAGGAGGATCAGGGTTGATCTATGTAAATCTATTACACAGAGCAGGTATGTATGACGTGTTGATAATTTTAATTAAAAAAAAGAAGCTTTACAACCACTTTTTTTTTTTTTGAAAATTTGAATTTAATTTACTAGATTTTTTTATTAGGTCTTAGGATTGCTTGATTTGCATTGCAGCAGAGTTTAAAGCTGGACTCCAGGCAAACAGCTACATACACATATTACCCCCATGACTAATCTCTGTGGGCGGAGTGAAACATTTTGGGGGCGTGGTCTGGTTGGAGCCTGGGCTGAGACTGTCACCTTCCTAAGGCATTTTGCAGAGATGTACAACTTCCAGAACTTTTCCATTTCATAGACATACAGTATGAATTGCATATATAGGAACTTTTTTACCTGCCAATAGAGTTGTATTGCTGGCTATCCAGTTCTGAGATTTATACAGCTCTGCCAATATACCACATTCATGTCTGGCGGGGGAAATTATTTGGGCTGTCTTTGATGCAGCTCAGTACTGCTTAACCCCTGGTTCACACCTAAGCATTTGTCTCCACGTTTTACAGAAACGCAGTACAGTCCATTTAACATGATTTCCTATGGGACACATTCGAATCTCCGCGCTTTCACCTGGGGCGTTTCTTGGAAAGGGTCAGGGACTTTTTTAACTCAAAAAATTGCATTTT